TGATGGCTACCACCCAAAGTGCCAGCTACCTTGTAAGAGGATTGCATTAAGACATGTGCCTTTGCTGCTTCCAGAGACACCTTATGAATGAGACAAATGAATTAAATTATATACGACATCTGGAAGTGATGCTAGTTAAAGGTATATTAATTGAACACTAGGTTAGTAAAGAGAAGAGACACACTTGGAAACTGTTCATGAATGCTAGGAGATTCTGGGGGTTGCATTGCACAAATGTAGTAGTGTGTAGTTCAAACTCTACCCTACATGAACAAACATGGCTTTCTACTTGCAATCCTTAAATCTATTCTGCTCTTTTATTCTACCGCACATTCTGGACTTCCAAATTCTGGACTTCCTCGATTCCACAAGGCAGTTGGGTGTTGCATAAACACACAAGCAATGCAGTGTACACAACCTGAAATGCTATTCATGGGAATGAGATTAAAGTTGTTCAAGACTGTTCCTTTTTTTTTTCTTGTTGCATAAGGTTCCATAGAAGAGAAACACAATTATTTTATCATCTGCTATATCACACAATCTTTCTTCTCATATCTACACCTCTAACTCTCTGAGAGTCATTGCATGACATTGTTTCCTTCCCTCAACATTTTCACTAATTAGGACCTCTAGCAGGCATGGTGTCAGCATGACCAGATAATATTTACACACACACCCTCCTTTTTACAAGAATTTTATTCTCTTGTGTCTGCTCTAGAAATGAAACAATGAAAACAGGAGGAAACAGGCGATGAGCCAACTTTTCACCAAATTAGAGCACATAAACTTTCAGGATACTGCCTATGGAGCATTAGGGGTGTGCCATTTGTGGATTTGGACTACAAATTCCATAACTGTCTACTTTCAGAGTCCCATCTGACAAACAGACACCTAAATGTGGATCACCTGGGAGAAGGTCCTAAGCTGAAGTCATTGTGGCCAAGCATAGGCCTAAAAGTACCTAGCTTCCTGTTCAAAAAGAAAGCTGTCCCAGTGCTTGCTGGCAGCTTCCTTTTTGAATAAGAACCAAGGTGTAGCTAGGGCCATACTAAGCTTTCCTGTTTAGGCCTTTCTCCCAGGTAAGCCACATTTAGGTGTCTGTCAGATGGGGCCCACCAAATGGAGAATTATGGGATTTGGAGTCAAAGAAAATTAAAAGCACATATAGCACATCCCTTTGGAGGATCTGCATGTATGTTTGTGTATCGTACCTAGTGTATCAAAATACACTTTCTTGCCATTTTCTGTCATTTCAAACAGACCAATATACTTCACTACATGTCAGATCTAGACTTGGTCATATTTAGACTAGGACAAACAGAAAGCAAACTAGCCATGTGAAACGGCAGGTATGAAAAAACAGAAAATATCCTTAATAATAGGGATATGTCACATCCATCCTATGGCATTTCTAGTTACTATGTATGGATGCGAACACTGGACACACAAAAAAAAGCTAACAAGAAACAAAAATGGATTCCTTTAAATTATGGTGCTGGAGGACAGCGTTGTGGAGACCTAAACCACCAGAAAGAAAAGCAAGTGGGTTGTAGATCAAATCAAGCCTGAGTTCTCCCTAAAAGTAAAAATGATTAACTGAGGCTATACAACGCATGATAAGAAAACAAGACTCGTTTTAAAAAAAGCAATGCTGGGAAAAGCTGATGCTAGCAGGTAAAGAGGAGGGCCAACCCTAAGATGGATTGACTCAATAAAGGAAGTTGTGTCTTGAATCTGCAAGACCTGAGCAGGGCTGCTGAAGACAGGATATTTTGGAGATCACTCCTTCTTAGGGTCCCCGTAAGCGTAAGGCTTCAACAATAGGATACTGGTAGGGGAAGAACCAGAGTCTTTTGAAGAGAATTCGAATGAACATTTGCCCTCCAGGATTTCCCCATTGTGCCCCCTTTGTTACCACTACCTGGGATGTGAACCAGGAATTGCAAGCTATCATGGTTTGATATCATTAACAGCCCCTATTGCATGGACAGAGGCAGCTTAAAGAAAAGGATCAGCTCTCTAGCTCAGAGAATGCTTTTCCAGCAGGATAGCAGTATTCAGAAAGTATTAAGTGGTTCTGCAACACCATGTTATTTTACACAATGTTATTTTACTTTTGCTTTAGGATTCCAGCCAGCCACAGCCATCCTTACCTTCTTTCAGATAATACTATTTCAGCCCTCTTCGCCTTGTGCTCTTCAGATACACTGGACTACAATTCCCCTTATTCCTAGGTCACAATGCCAAATGCATTTCAAAGGCACCAAGTTGAGGAAGGCTGATCAATGGTACTGCCCCTTCCCTGGTAATTTTATAGTTTCCTTATTCTAAAAGACAGCTAGAATTCTGTGGCCATTGAATGTTTACCACCACCTGCTTTATAGTTTTCTTTTATGATCGGGTCAGTTTTTCTTTTTTTAGTCGGATATCTCTATGAATCTTGAACTAGAGTTATCGTTTTTATTTCCTTTGCCAAACGACAATCCCCTTCCACACTTTATTTACACTTGTCAACTGAGAACCTGTATCTATTCTGAGGTTCCTGCCAAGAGATCAGTGACGTGGTTGCCAAATCAAATAATCTGTGACCAAAATGGAAAACTGATCATAAATGGAGACAAACGCAACCAGCAGGATGACCTCTGCTTAGGATTCCTCTGGGCAAGCTGATCCTCTCCTGCTGTGTGTGGATGTCATGCTTACGGCAGGCGTGCGCTTCCAATACCAACAGGAAGGTTCTCAAACTTCCAACAGCAGATTTTTGCATCCTCCAAGTTTCAGGTTTTTTGCATCAGAGCCTAGTCACCAAATTCTGATCTGCCATCAAGGAATGTGCTTGCTGATACCACTATATGGTCTTCTTCAGAAAACTCAAAACGGTAAATACATGACATGTGAATACAGGTGAAATTTCCTAGAAGGGCTAAGTCTACTATTGCATAAATTCTGCAGTTGAGGGTATAGCTAGGATCAGAATTTGTTCCACAACACTCTAAAAAGAGTTAGTCGGGTGATAATTTCAAAGATTTTATTCTGATATATGCTTGGACATCCATGAACATCCAAGCAGTAGACCACTTTCAAAGTGGGTGGGGGATATCAACAAAAACCATTTAATTAGAGAAAGGTGCAATTAGGATTTTGGACTATCTGTAGTGTCCGGGAAGCTCGTTTATTCAGGGATAGTTGCACCTAACACGTGGGAAATATTTTATGAAAAGATGATCCATAGATGCCTTACCCCCTGCTTTTCTTTTGATTTCACCATAGGAGCTCTCCATGGTGCAAGGATTCCTCAGAAGGATGCATGCACCATACAACATTCTTCAGCCTTTGCCATTCCAAATGTAATTTGCATCATCCACAAGTAGCCAGGCCAATGGTGACACAGGACAGGAGCTGTAATCCAGCTAATGTGGAGGATACCAAGTGTGGGAAAACTGAGAAGCAATAATGACTAGGATATTTTACAGCCATCCTGAATAATCAGGGTTTTGGAAATTCTCACAGTACAATGTACTTTGAAAGGCAAGACCCAGCTGCTGCAGTTGGTATGAATGAGAATCAAGCATATTCTCACACACTGTGTTGTAAATAATGGGGTTGAATTGCCTCAAGACTTGTAACATTAAGTGCCTTTATTATACAACTCAGCAGCAGATTTACTTTACTGCAAGGGATTTTCACAAATTCTTTTTAAAAAGTGTCCCCAGTATTTCAAAAATTGTGAAAATTCCCCATACATCTATGGTTAAAAAACTGAATTAGCTACTGTATTATATAATCATATAGTTATATTATATACATCAAATAGATATTCACAGATATATATATATATATTAGAAAATCAGTTTTTAAGAGATTAGTTTGACACTTATGTTGTTGGGTGTTTTTTAACCTACACCAATTAAAACACTTTCCATACTGATCCTATCAACAAAAGCTGGGGAAACAACAGGAAGTTAAGTGAAAATCTGCTAGGCAAAGAAAGGCGCATCATTTCAGGCATCACTGTCTGCTGCTTCTGAATTGATTAACCCAGTCCCCAAAAAGGACATTGGTGAAAACAACACAGAAATCCCAAGTACTGGCGAAACTCTTGAATGATCCACTCAGTCAATCTGCTAACCACAAGTACTGAAAGTTTTCCATTCACTAACTGTTCTTAAAACTTTTAGGCTCCTTCTTGCAAAATGCAGTGTCAGTCTCAGCTTTCTCACATGGGCCATGGTGACAGCTCCACAAATGACCATAATCTTGCCCACCTCCTTGCTCCCATAGGCAAAATGGCATCAATAACAGGCTGTTTTATGCAGGATATTACTTATTTCAGTTCTCCTAGGTCATCTGAACCTAATGGGAAGCACCATCAATGAAATACCATTTTCTCCAAGCTGGGTAACTGCCTGGTTTTGACAGTTGTGAAGGTGGAACATTATGTGCATGCTAATTCAGTCATCACCCCTATGCATATTTATACTCGCAACACTGCGTTATTGTACATCAAAGGGGACATCTGTATTTATATATTTCTTCTTCGGTATTCAAGACATAAAGAGAGTCATTTTATAGAGGAAAAATAGTACCAGCGAATGCAACAGCATTAACAGTTAAAACTCACAGTCCTCCTGATTGGCCAGGAAACAGGCAACACAGAAGAGGTTCTTATTCAGTAGGTTCAATGCAAAGTGACTAAACTTACAGTACATACCTTAAATAAAGTGGATAGGTTTTTTAAAAAAAAACCACCTTAAAATTACACAATAGAATAAGTTAAACTCAGAACTAAGAGACAGGAATGTCAGTGTTGAATTCCTGGCTCTCACATTTCCTATGCTAAATAGCTCAAATAGCTCATGCCCTCACACTCTTCCAACAAGGGTTTGGCAAATCTTATCCCAGGTCCTTTCTTGATCAGCAGTGGAAAACCAAGGTCTTGCCTTCAGAGAACTCGTCTACCAGTAACATCCCCTTCCACGACTTTAGTCTCACAAACCCACCTGTTTGTAGGCATCCAAGAGGAAGCTGTTCCAGACACAGCGCAGCCCCTCTGAGGTGAGCATCCTTCGCCACTCTCCACGTGCAGCCTTGGAGCGACTCAGAAGAAGCACCATGTGCTTCAAGAGGACCACCGAGTCATAGAGGGCAAGAAAGAGGCAGTTGGAGAAAAAAACGGGCAGGATTTGCAGAGTGATCAACAGGTCCACGCTTAACAGACCCATCTTGCTCGCTGGCTTCTTTGCTGCCCTTCAGAGGCTCGCTTTGAGTTCCCTCGTCATGCCCTGTGTCCTCCTCAAAAATAATAGTAATGATAAAATAAAGAAGGATACAAGAAATCACAAGTGTTTCTTAAAAACTCATGGTTGCCTCTGTCTCCTCTCTCATAAAGTTGTCTCAGTGCGGCAGGCGCTGCTTTAAAAAAAAAGTTTCTTAAAAAAAAAAACCCCTGCCAGCGCGAAATCTTTCCACCCTGAACTGCTTTTAATTTTTCAGAAACTCTAAGTCAACCTACTGTTGTTGTTTCTCCTTAGCCAGTAGCCCTTTTCAGTCTGCTTGAGAGAACAAGAGAGAGCGCTAGCCTGCCAATTCCCGGCAGTTCTAAAACTGTAGCAGAACTGCTAACTTTCCTCTAACTCTGAGCTATTTAAGCACTAAGCAGTTCTCTCGTTCCTTATCACCAAAGCTATCAGGTGAACAATACTCTCTCTCTCTCTCTCTTTTGCTGTTGTTGGTTCGGGGAGGTGCGGAAACTCTCTGTACACAAACTTTCTGTACTTCTCTAACTCATCCCTCCTCTCTTTCTCCCTTTCTGCCACTCTTCTGTCTCCCTCCCTCCCTCTCTCCCTCTCACTATCTGCCTGTGGTACGAAGCGCTTTCCCTCTGGAGTCCTAGCTCAGTTCCCTCAAGCCTTTTATACATTCCCTGGCTAATTGCTGCAATAGAGAAATGAAACCCTAATCTTAGTAAAGATCTTGACGTCAATGTAAAAGAGGGCTTTACTTTGGCCAGGACGGCAGTGAATAGAAAAGTAAAATTCTCAAAACTCTCGCCCCCCCTCTCTTTTTTTTTAACTTGGGAAAGAAAAAGAGAGTGGGAACCTTCCTTTGTTGTATTTTTAAAAAAACCTCTAGATACCTTTGATTTGTTTTTCCTTTTCAAATATGCTTTCAAACTTTGGAAAATATTTTCTTATGACGTGGAAAGTGACACAGAAGCAGGGTTTTCTATTGTTTAGAAAGATGTTTCTTCCCCCCCCCCTCCACTCTCTGGTGTTTTGTGTTTTTTTTTAAATTATTATTTTGTCCTTTTGTATTTTCCAGGAAAGTGCTGATGCATCCTAGAAAATGGCATAGTTTGGTATGGTTCCTTCCCACAAACATCAGGCACAAAAGTGTGTTCTGTTTTCAGTGTCTTTTTTATCCCTCTTCCTGGTATTTAAGGAAAGGCAAGGAACACCCAGGTCTGACTTCATCTGCTGATCTGGAGAGGAAATAAAAGGGGAGGAAGTAAGATTTTTAACTAAGATTTGATTTGAAACTGAACTTCATCTATGAAACACAGAGTTCGGAATTCAGAGCTGATACAAAGTTGGTGGTTCTCAATAATAAAGCTACAAGGAGTCTCACTGATTTGTTAAGTATCTGTTAGGGTTTTTCAGGGGAGCTACCCATATGTCTGGTCTATGAGTAGCCCCTGGCCCATCCCCAACTCAGGGCCAATAGTTATACTGTATTATTATATGTGCATGGGTATATAAGTGAATCATTACCTGTGCCTATTTTACAGATTGGGGAAATGACACTGACAGGCAGCGAGCTATCTATAGCCACTATGAAGTCAGAATTTGAATCTAGAGCACTACTTGGAACGAACATAAAGCGAAGTGATTATTAAATAACAGTCCCACCTGTCTACCTTCACAGCTGACTCACATACAAATCCAGCTGTTAATCCCAATTAGAGTAGCCCCACTGAATCACTATGATTGACACAGGTGTTGATTTACCATTCAACAATGCATCCAGTGGGACAAGTTTAGCTAGAACTTTCAACTATATTTAGAGCTGCATGATTACAGGATTTTCCTGTAGATAGGACACTCAAAAGGGCAAGGAACAGGATAAACCTATCTCATTATCTCACTTTCATTTCAGACAATTACCCCCAAAGAGGCCTCTTCTTAAAAATTATATTTACAAAACAGCAACATGTTAAGAGTACATGCCGTATAAAATGAAACTTGGATTCTTCTTCCTCAGAAATATATTCTGAGCTAAACTCTTTTCCACTTCTTGGAATTGTCCATAAAATCATTAACACTACAGTATGTTCCTGTCTTCGAGACTAAGTTCGCTGTGATCAGTTGTGACTCAACGGCAGAAACAACTTATTGTAGACAAACAAACATAAAGCCTCGTGGTGCAATGGTTAAACTGCAGTACTGCAGCCAAAACTCTGCTTGCAATCTGGAGCCAATCCCAGGTAGCAGGCTCAATAACTTGGCATGGTTTATTGCAACTAACTAAAAAGCGCCAGGGCATATCTCTGTTATGCGCTTTGTTATGCCAGACTTCACTACCAAAATGTACCTCAGGATCTCATCAATTAGCTGCAATTACCCACAGCAGATTATGCAAACCTTATGTGAATACTGACTGGCCAGCATGTTTGAGGAAACTATTCACAAGGCCAGCAACCAATGAGTCCTGGGTTTTAAGCCCCTTCCTGTTGTCCTCATTTTCTGTGTTCTCAAGAGAGTAAATCTGATCTTTGCCTCAGGATTAACCATTAATGTAACACTATGGAGGATGTTCATTTCACTAGTCTTACATGGGCAGCTTCAGGAAACACCTCTGATCACCTACTCAGACCATAAAAACCATGTGGTTTAGTGGTTAGAGGACAGCTGTGGCTGTCCAAATGCTGTTTTACAATCCTCTGTCCAGAAATTATAATGGAAGGTAAGTGTTGCAGTCTAATAATTGGAGGGCCCCATGTTCCTCATTCCTAAATTAATGTGATTGATTACGAGTCGCCCGGAGTAGACTTCGGTCTAGATGGGCAGGGTATTAAATAAATAAATAAATGAATGAATGAATGAATGAATGAATGAATAAATAAATAAATAAATAAATAAATAAACGAATGAACGAATGAACAAACAAACAAACAAACAAACACAACTAGGGAGAAAGACTCACGTCCAAATCCACAGTGAACCATGAAAATCTGTGGCTGGCGTTGGGCCAATCACTTTCTCTTACTCTAATCTTTTGTGAAGATTGTGAAGAAGAGCAATGGTAAATAACCTCCCTTGAGCACCCTGGATGAAAGGTGGCACACAATGACAGGAGATAATAATGCAAGACTTGCACGGATCTTCTGTTGCTCCATCAAAGGACAGCTGGGAATCCAGTCAAAGTGAGGAACTCGTCCTTGTTTATTACTTGAAAGTGTGGAAACCCATCACAAGGGAGGGAGGGAGGAAGAATACCCTGTGGTTCTGTCAGGATATTTATTTTTCAGCTGCAAAAAGAATCAAGAGATTGTATGGGAGATAATTGAGTTTGTTAAGGAATTGGATCTCATCAACCTATTTTGATTTTCTTCCCAAGCGCATTTTATCCTCCTCTGAATCATAGCATGCAATTTGCATTCTGTCATATTCAAATTGGCACATGTATAAAGGACTATTGGTATAGCAGAAATTACAGGGAGAAGGCACAATGCAATGTCATTGTGGCAAACAGGTTTTGACTTTAGTTTAATGGTGTCCAAATCTGTCCCTGGTAATTCACTGAAAGAACAGTTTTCACCTTTCCCTATCATTCTCCCCAAAGGCAGGTCAGTGACTTTGTCCAACACAATATACTGGGAGAAGGAGGGTGGCATGAATCAAGCCTGCTCTTTTTTTCTGCATAACTCAACCTTGGAATCCATTTCTTTGGTCATGCTAGAATATGACATACAGAAACAGCTCAAGAACAGGCAGTCAAGACCAATGAAACGTCTTCCACTTCTAACACAAGGAGAAAGTGCACAGCCTGTACATCATGAACATCTGCACAAGTGAGTAGTAGGGTAAACACCATTATTTATTCATCTAGAAGAGGAAACGTGTGTACTTGTGACCTGAGGAACACCATTAAGTAGGGAATAAAGTTGCTTCTCCCATTCTGGGTGACTTCAAGAAGTAGATTTCATTCCCTTTTTATTATGTCTCTGATTCTAAGACTCGATTGAGATAAGAATCCAGAACCCTGAAATTGTATCCTGTCTACTGTGCGATACCACAATGACTCTTTCTTTCACCTCTGGAACAGGTAACAAGTTGACTGAGACAGAGACATTGTACAAACTGTACTTTCAGCAGAGACACTATATTCTCAGAAATGTTGCTCTGCAAAGCTGTGACATAGAGTTGAGAAATATGGCCATCCTCGGATTCAGTTCTGGGAAAAGTGGAGGGTGATATTTGCTGTTTATATGCTTCTGATTTGTTTAACAATTATGTTGTTTAACTGCATTATACCTGCAGCATGTTTTAATCTTTCCATGCCACTAGTGTACTGCCTGATATCTGTTAAGTGCAGCTTTAAAACACAGCTGAAGTAACTATAATTAAATTATACACAGCACATACACACACAAAATTATTATTTTATAATTAACTTGCCTTGGGTCCTTTTAAGGAGAAAAACATTTTAACAACAACAACAATAGTACTACTACCATCACCACTACAACCAAATTGTCTGCTAGGGTGTAAAATGTTCTCTCTCATGCCAGAAATATTATGAATGTCTGCTGTTGGGAGCTCAGCAGATGGTGGTGAAGTCTTTTCATTGTGGAATTTACTTTAGTCAGTGAAGGACCAATTGGTACATGTTTTGATTTGTAAAACTCTAAACAGCTTGGGGCTATAATATCTGTAAAACCCCACCACCACCCAGTACAAGCCTGGCCAGAATCTGAGATCTTCAACAGAGGCCCTATTGCATGCCCCATCATCTCAAGAGGCTAAGATGGTGAATATAGGAGGAGAACCTCCTATACTATACTTTTAAATAACAATAAATAAATAAATAACATAACATAAACCATTTTCTACAAAAACAACATCAACTGTGCAACTCTCTCCCGAGGGAGGTCAGTCTGGCTCCCTCCTTATATCTAAAAACTTTAAGCAAAGAGATAAATTAATATCCAACTTTCCTGCTTTTTTATGTTGTATTCAAATAATATTGTTCTGCTATGAAGACACACACGCTTCTAAAACACACACATACCTTTAGTTGCTTTGAAAGTTCACAGAGCTAGTAATGTGGCTTATTGTTTTAAATAAACATATACTGTACATGGATTTTCATAATGGGAAACCAAATATGTATTTTATTGCAGGACAAGGTGTTACCCAACGTGAAACGACAGGCTGCCCTCCATCTGATTGCACATCTCCCAGTTTCTACCAAATATTTCTTACAAACAGTTATCTCCAGTTTGATTATGACAGGCTTTAGCTGCCTGCTCTTCCTCTTCTGCTTATTCTTCCTACCAGTGCTGGTCTGCAGTGGGGGATGGGAGAGAACAAGAGGTACATAACCAGCCCCATTTGGCAGGATGAAAACCTTGCAGCCGACAATGACATGCTCCCTCCTCTAGAGGTCACACTTGGCACTACAAGAGGTTGAGAGCAAAAGACCAGCAGATATGAATAATAATTATTCATGTGCCTTTCGAACTTGTTAGCCCTGCACTAATTTCACTAAGAAGCATACAGAAGCATCTGAACACTTAGTATTACCTCACCCCTATCCTTCAGGTTCTTTACATGGCTGGACAAGATGTGACACTCAGTTGTCTCCAGCCAAATAAGAAAACGAATTCACTGGGCCCAAAAACCCAT